CTGTCTGCCATGGTAAATACCACTAGTGTCAGTGTGCTGATCCGACTGTGTTGAAAGTGATCTTACGTCCATCATGGTAAATACAGCTAGTGACAGTGTGCTGCTCTGATTGTGTTGAAAGTGATCGTACGTCCATCATGGTAAATACCACTTGTGACAGTGTGCTGACCTGATACCTACTTGATGTGACCGTCTGTCCGTCTGCCATGGTAAATACTACTAGTGTCAGTGTGCTGATCTGATTGTGTTGAAAGTGATCTTAAGTCCATCATGGTTAATAGCGTTAGTGACAGTGTGCTGCTCTGATACCTGCTTGAAGTGACCGTCTGTCTGCCATGGTAAATACCACTAGTGTCAGTGTGCTGATCTGACTGTGTTGAAAGTGATCTTACGTCCATCATGGTAAATACCACAAGAGACAGTGTGCTGACCTGATTGTGTTGAAAGTGATCTTACATCCATCATAGTAAATGCCGCTAGTGTCAGTGTGATGCTCTGATTGTGCTGAAAGTGACCTTACGTCCATCATGGTAAATACCGCTAGTGACTGTCTGTCTGCTATGGTAAATACCACTAGTGTCAGTGCGCTGATCTGATACCTGCTTGACTTGACCGTCTGTCTGCCATGGTAAATACCACTAGTGTCATTGTGCTGATCTGACTGTGTTGAAAGTGATCTCTCCCTCCATCATGGCAAATACAGCTAGTGAAAGTGTGCTGCTCTGATTGTGTTGAAAGTGATCTTACGTCCTTCATGGTAAATACCACTAGTGACAGTGTGCTGACCTGATACCTGCTTGATGTGACCGTCTGTCCGTCTGCCATGGTAAATACCACTAGTGTCAGTGTGCTGATCTGATTGTGTTGAAAGTGATCTTACGTCCATCATGGTTAATAGCGTTAGTGACAATGTGCTGCTCTGATACCTGCTTGAAGTGACCGTCTGTCTGCCATGGTAAATACCACTAGTGTCAGTGTGCTGATCTGACTGTGTTGAAAGTGATCTTACGTCCATCATGGTAAATACCACAAGTGACAGTGTGCTGACCTGATTGTGTTGAAAGTGATCTTACATCCATCATAGTAAATGCCGCTAGTGTCAGTGTGATGCTCTGATTGTGCTGAAAGTGACCTTACGTCCATCATGGTAAATACCGCTAGTGACTGTCTGTCTGCTATGGTAAATACTACTAGTGTCAGCGTGCTGATCTGATACCTGCTTGATGTGACCGTCTGTCTGCCATGGTAAATACCACTAGTGTCATTGTGCTGATCTGACTGTGTTGAAAGTGATCTCTCCCTCCATCATGGCAAATACAGCTAGTGAAAGTGTGCTGCTCTGATTGTGTTGAAAGTGATCTTACGTCCTTCATGGTAAATACCACTAGTGACAGTGTGCTGACCTGATACCTGCTTGATGTGACCGTCTGTCCGTCTGCCATGGTAAATACCACTAGTGTCAGTGTGCTGATCTGATTGTGTTGAAAGTGATCTTACGTCCATCATGGTTAATAGCGTTAGTGACAGTGTGCTGCTCTGATACCTGCTTGAAGTGACCGTCTGTCTGCCATGGTAAATACCACTAGTGTCAGTGTGCTGATCTGACTGTGTTGAAAGTGATCTTACATCCATCATAGTAAATGCCGCTAGTGTCAGTGTGCTGCTCTGATTGTGCTGAAAGTGATCTTACGTCCATCATGGTAAATACCGCTAGTGACTGTCTGTCTGCCATGGTAAATACCACTAGTGTCAGTGTGCTGATCTGACTGTGTTGAAAGTGATCTTACGTCCATCATGGTAAATACAGCTAGTGACAGTGTGCTGCTCTGATTGTGTTGAAAGTGATCGTACGTCCATCATGGTAAATACCACTTGTGACATTGTGCTGACCTGATACCTACTTGATGTGACCGTCTGTCCGTCTGCCATGGTAAATACCACTAGTGTCAGTGTGCTGATCTGATTGTGTTGAAAGTGATCTTACGTCCATCGTGGTTAATACCACAAGTGACAGTGTGCTGCTCTGATTGTGTTGAAAGTGATCTTATGTCCATCATGGTTAATAGCGTTAGTGACAGTGTGCTGATCTGATACCTGCTTGACGTGACCATCTGCCATGGTAAATACCACTAGTGACAGTGTGCTGATCTGATTGGTGTTGAAAGTGATCTTACGTCCATCATGGCAAATACCGCTAGTGACAGTGTGCTGCTCTGATTGAGCTTATTTGATCTTATGTTCATCATGGTAAATACCGCTAGCGTTAGTTTGCTGCTCCGGTTGTGTTGAAAGTGATCTTACATCCATCATAGTAAATACCACAAGTGACAGTGTGCTGCTCTGATTGTGTTGAAAGTGATCTTACGTCCATCATGGTAAATACCACTGGTGACAGTGTGCTGACCTGATACCTGCTTGATGTGACCGTCTGTCCTTCTGCCATGGTAAATACCACTAGTGTCAGTGTGCTGATCTGACTGTGTTGAAAGTGATCTTACGTCCATCATGGTAAATACAGCTAGTGACAGTGTGCTGCTCTGATTGTGTTGAAAGTGATCGTACGTCCATCATGGTAAATACCACTTGTGACAGTGTGCTGACCTGATACCTACTTGATGTGACCGTCTGTCCGTCTGCCATGGTAAATACCACTAGTGTCAGTGTGCTGATCTGATTGTGTTGAAAGTGATCTTACGTCCATCGTGGTTAATACCACAAGTGACAGTGTGCTGCTCTGATTGTGTTGAAAGTGATCTTATGTCCCTCATGGCTAATAGCGTTAGTGACAGTGTGCTGATCTGATACCTGCTTGACGTGACCATCTGCCATGGTAAATACCACTAGTGACAGTGTGCTGATCTGATTGGTGTTGAAAGTGATCTTACGTCCATCATGGCAAATACCGCTAGTGACAGTGTGCTGCTCTGATTGAGCTTATTTGATCTTATGTTCATCATGGTAAATACCGCTAGCGTTAGTTTGCTGCTCCGGTTGTGTTGAAAGTGATCTTACATCCATCATAGTAAATACCACAAGTGACAGTGTGCTGCTCTGATTGTGTTGAAAGTGATCTTACGTCCATCATGGTAAATACCACTGGTGACAGTGTGCTGACCTGATACCTGCTTGATGTGACCGTCTGTCCTTCTGCCATGGTAAATACCACTAGTGTCAGTGTGCTGATCTGACTGTGTTGAAAGTGATCTTACGTCCATCATGGTAAATACAGCTAGTGACAGTGTGCTGCTCTGATTTTGTTGAAAGTGATCGTACGTCCATCATGGTAAATACCACTTGTGACAGTGTGCTGACCTGATACCTACTTGATGTGACCGTCTGTCCGTCTGCCATGGTAAATACCACTAGTGTCAGTGTGCTGATCTGATTGTGTTGAAAGTGATCTTACGTCCATCATGGTTAATACCACAAGTGACAGTGTGCTGATCTGATTGGTGTTGAAAGTGATCGTACGTCCATCATGGTAAATACCACTAGTGACAGTGTGCTGATCTGATTGGTGTTGAAAGTGATCTTACGTCCATCATGGCAAATACCGCTAGTGACAGTGTGCTGCTCTGATTGAGCTCATTTGATCTTATGTTCATCATGGTAAATACCGCTAGCGTTAGTTTGCTGCTCCGGTTGTGTAGACAGTGTGCTGACCTGATACCTGCTTGATGTGACCGTCTGTCCTTCTGCCATGGTAAATACCACTAGTGTCAGTGTGCTGATCTGATTGTGTTGAAAGTGATCTTACGTCCATCATGGTTAAGAGCGTTAGTGACAGTGTGCTGCTCTGATACCTGCTTGAAGTGACCGTCTGCCATGGTAAATACCACTAGTGTCAGTGTGCTGCTCTGTGTTGAAAGTGATCTTATGTCCATCATGGTAAATACCACAAGTGACAGTGTGCTGATCTGATTGTGTTGAAAGTGATCTTACGTCCATCATGGTTAATAGCGTTAGTGACAGTGTGCTGATCTGATACCTGCTTGACGTTACCGTCTGCCATGGTAAATACCACTAGTGACAGTGTGCTGATCTGATTGTGTTGAAAGTGATGTTACGTCCTTCCTGATAAATACTGCTAGTGACAGTGTGCTGACCTGATACCTGCTTGATGTGACCGTCTGTCCGTCTGCCATGGTAAATTGTTGTGTCAGTGTGCTGCTCTGTGTTGAAAGTGATCTTATGTCCATCATGGTAAATACCGCTAGTGACAGTGTGCTGCTCTGATTGAGCTGGAAGTGACCTTCGGTCCATCATGGTAAATACCGCTAGGGTCAGTCTGCTGCTCTGATTAAGCTTGAAGTGATCTTACGTCCATCATGGTAAATTACGTCCATCATGGTAAATACCGCTAGTGACAGTGTGCTGCTCTGATTAAGCTGGAAGTGATCTTACGTCCATCATTGTAAATTACGTCCATCATGGTAAATACCTCTAGTGTCAGTGTGCTGCTCTGATTGTGCTGGAAGTGATCGTACATTGATCAAGGAAAAAAATTCTTTGAGAGGCATTTAGAAGTTGGAGTTATAAGTAAGGATAAGATATATGGATGATATCACTTGCATCATAACGGTGTTAGAACCTACACCGAAACATCGCTCCGAATTGTAATAAAGAAGTTGTTCATCCATATATCTTATCCTTACTTAAAGGAAAATACTGCTTGTGACAGTGTGTAAAACTGCTGCAATAGTTACATGCTGTTAAGAAACAATTACAACAGCTACCGGGTAATGAGCATTGAAAAGGAATGGCAAAGACAAAGGCTAATGAACAAGCGCTGATGTAACATTCGTTATACTTCTTATGGCTGTGAACCCCTTAGAATTATGCAATAAATACTTGAGTTGCATTTACATTTGTTGATCTGTTTGTTGTTCAACAATGTCTTCAGCATTATTCCAGCTATAAGACTTAGTAAGCCTTCTAAAGGAGACCTTCATTGCTGATTTCTGCTAAACTTTCTATCAGAAGCAAAATTCCCACATTACCTTCATTGAATCTGTATCCAAACTCTTCAAGAGATTTGGGGAAAATGTATCTCTCTGGAAAGAAAGAAAAATAGAGTCACACCACTGTAACTCAGAAGTGTAATTAGTTTCTTTCAGCACTGATGATCTATTTTTTTCAGCGTAACTTTTGAGGACTAATTGACAAATATGAACAAGTAAATGAACTTTGAAAACTATCTTCCCAAGAAAGGAGTGTCCACAAGCCTGTATCAAAGCCTAGTTTCCACCCTTGCCATTTCAAGCCTAAAACCTGAGTCGAGGACCTGGTCAATCAGATAATGAAAAGATTTGATATTTCATCCCTGACAGACAAAATGACAGATTACCACACCTAAGGTACTTATTACTGCTGCATTTCGCTCTTACAAAAATAGAAGCATACAAACTACACAGTATCTTGTAACACTGCACATCAAAGTACCACTTGTGTCAGTGTGCTGCTCCGATTGTGTTGAAATTGATCTTACATCCATCATGGTAAATACCACTGGTGACAGTGTGCTGACCTGATACCTGTTTGATGTGACCGTCTGTCTGTCTACCATGGTAAATACCACTAGTGTCAGTGTGCTGACCTGATTGTGTTGAAAGTGATCTTACGTCCATCATAGTAAATACCACAAGTTACAGTGTGCTGATCTGTTTGTGTTGAAAGTGATCTTACGTCCATCATGGTTAATAGTGCGAGTGAAAGTGTGCTACTCTGATTGTGTTGAAAGTGATCTTATGTTCATCATAGTAAATACCACTAGTGTCAGTGAGCTGATCTGATTGTGTTGAAAGTGATCCTACGTCCATCATAGTAAATAGCGCTAGTGACAGTGTGCTGCTCTGATTATGTTGAAAGTGATCTTATGTTCATCATGGCAAATACCGCTAGTGATACTCACTAACACGAAATGCTCAGTATGGTTGTCTGAATGCTAGTACAGCATCTTAGTCACTGCAATAAACATTTAGTTAACCGTTTCAATACCAGTCTTCAAGAAGCTTTTCACTGCTATGACATTGAGTCCCTAGAGACTCTGGGTTGATAGATAAAGCCTACATTTATCAAGGAAAATACCAGCTTGTAAAATATCTTTGCTACTACATGTCATACACCATTTGAAAGATCTCATCCTAGTGTTTATAAATATAACAGTAATATTTATCACATCATTTTAATAACACATTTACAACTTAATTCAGTTCAATTTTAATTTTTTTTTCATGTAAGCTAACACATTCATCATGTCCAGATTAAGAAAATCTGAAAATTGTTGTGATTTTTGGCAATTCTGAGATCAATATCCACTTACCTATTTCTTTTTTTATTTTCATTGTTTACATAATCGGAAAATTATTATTCATATTAAAAAAAAAAAATCTATCATGACCTGTTTCCAATAACAATGACTTTTTGCTCAGGAACATGAGAAAATACCGGGAAATATCTTCGATTTTGATGCTTTGTCTGAATAACATGAAAATATTGTTTGATGTTGGGTATCGTTTGAAAGCTCTGAACATCTTAGTAAAATCTAAATATTTTTTACATTTGTATACTTAAGCTGTTTCCATCTCAAGTCTGCTTTTCACAGGACCACCGACGCTGTCATGTGACCGGTTGTGATGTCACATCAAATCATATTACTGCTCGCCATCCGAGGTAACAAAAAGAGTTTCTGAAGCTATAGTGGGGAGGCAAGTCTGAGACGGGTGGGCCCTTAGACGTATTAATGCAGGATAAGCATACAAATGTAAAAAGTATTTAGATTTTACTAAATATTTTACTTATCCTGCATTAATCCTTAATGCATCTGTTTCGGACGGTATGGTGGAGGGTATACCTTCAGTTGTCAAAAACTTCAATAAAAAGAAACCCTTCCAAAGATAAGTTGTCAAGGAATTATTATGGTTCTGTTCGGATGAACAAAACCTTCCAAATAGCATGCTGGTTTTCTTGGGGGAATTTGTCAGCAAAGAGCCGGAGTCACAGAAGACTAATCACAATTTTAATTACAAGAACAATTAACAATGAACAATTTACAAGATCTTAGAATATAGCTGAGGGTGCCACAGAGAGTCGGTACAACCCTCTGGGCTGTGGGAGAGAGATCTGCTTGGTTAGAGCATCAAACCCCTTCTGCTTAACATTTGGCTTCTGTATGTATTTAACAAAACTTAGAACAATAAAAGGAATATGATTGGTTGATACACGATGGGGTGTGCCCTATGGTTAATGAATGGCTAGACAGAGGTGAATACTAATCTTGTTGACATATTTACTGGGTGCTTGGAAAGAGATTATGGTATGACTATAGATGAGCTTGTATGGGGGCTAATCCTTAATGAGTCTAAATTGAAGTATTTGTTGAATGTTATTCTTATATATAAGTGATGACAGATTTACTTAAATAAAATAGTTAAGGCAATCTATAAAACTATGTAGACATAACTTTTGTCTTATTGATTAGTATGTCTGGGAGATGGGATCTTGTTAACTTAGGCTAGTATTTATCTAAAAGCTATAAATCTATTAAACTATGTAGACATAACTTTTGTCTTATTGAATAGTATGCCTGGGAGATGGGTTCCCGTTACCTTAGGCTAGCATCTATCTTAAAAACTATAACTGAAACTACTGATATTTTATATATGCATTTTATCTGATGATATGCATTACTTGCAAACTATAATTATATGAAATGTTGTATAAATGTTACACCATGATAACTTATAAAAGCCCTTGCTGTGGATCTAATTATTCTATGAAAACTTAGTATAAATGTTATATCATGATAGAATTGTAAGGCGGAAAAACATAAAAATGCTGGATGATAGGGCTGGTTCAATCTTATATGCAGATGGAACATGAGAATTATGGATAAGTCCATGTTAACAACCAGTAAAACGGAAGATAGCATTAACTGAAATCTTAACATATTGTGCTATGAAGCCAAAGCTGATAAAAAGCTTGAAAATTCACCAGGCATGTTGTAGACAGTACTGCGCGGGAAGGGAAAACTGATCCTGACAGGACGAGTTCATTATTTGCGTCAGGGGGTTTGTTACCTGCTGGGCTACTACCAGAGGGCCAAAACTATGAACACCTTCAACGTCTTCGAGCGCCACATGGCAAAGATAATGGCTAAAGAATACTTTGTCCTTCCATGATTGGTCTTATAGAACAAATGCTGTGTAGAGCCCTGGTTTAGTCTAGCGATCTGATCTTGTGAGGGTTGTTCGGTCTTGGCGGATCAAGTCTAGCGATCTCGTAAGCCTGCTGGATGACTGTGCGTAACCATAGCGATATGGTGTTTAGGCTAACTTCGGTGCTAACTTTGGTACTGGACGTACAGGATACCAGGATGAATAATTGTTTCCGTGAGCCATGCCAAGTTTTTGAGCGGCAGATGAAAACTTCCCACAATCGTCGAGATTGGTGATATGGTGAGGGAACGACCGAGTTGGCCTGGAAATTGATTTTTCGCTATGAAATACCAAGAAATCCAAGGTGGACCATGCTCAAAACAGACATGGGTGATGTAACACACTCAACCGCGCCGCAGTGGCTAAAACCAAGAGAAAAATTGTTTTCTTGGTGAGGTAATAAAAAGAGGATGCATTGAGGGACTCGAAGGGGGTGGGGTGAGGGGCCCCGCAAACTTCGAAGTACCACATTTAAATCCCACGTCGGGTGATGGAATTTGGCCTTCTGATCCTGAAGAGCGTAATAGGGCCTGTAGATCTGGGACCTCAGTCATCTTGCAAATTACCGATAACTGAATTAAGCGCTACCAAATACATTGTAATGTGCTGCCCTTCAAGTGTTTTGGTACACAAGTGCAGCTATTCCCGAGGCAAGAGAGTTAACTGACTTTAAAAGTCCAGTTTCCACCCTTGCCAAACTAGGCTGGAATTCCTGGGCTCGATCGAAGCGCCACCAGTGGCTATTACCAGTTATGTCCCTTCTAAGCCTCTCCTATGGACCAATCAGATTCCACCTCTGGTATCACTTGCATTTGCTTCAAACATGGCGGCACCCAGTCGGGATGATCTGATCAATAATCAAGATCTATATTGTGATAAAACGGGTCTTACATCGCGAAATACATCAAATCACGTGAGCACCTTGATTAAAAACTTGAAAAGATTTGGAAAATATCTGCTGACAATGAAACGGCGCACATGCTTTGCAAATCCTGCAATAGACTGAAATCTGCACAACAGTTTATGAACTGGATTTTGATCTCATTGCACGATTTTGATTGGCCTATGCATAGACTCGTTAGTCCAGCCAAAATGTAGCTCCATAATACCAGCCTAGTTCGGCAAGGGTGGAAACTTGACTTTTATAGTCAGTTAACTCTCTTGCCTTGGGAAGATGGCTAAGAATTGAGGTGATGCTGTCGTGGGATCTTGGTTCTTTGTCTCACAAAAGGTTTCAAATGATCACCACTTGTCATCGTATAACCCCCTGGTAGAGGGACGATGTTCCAAATATCCGGCAAGAGAAAAGAGCTGTACCAAAGTGCTATGCTTATGGTTATTAATTTATTTCAAATATATATTGTAAAGCTGCAACTAAATTAACATGATATTGGAATAAATTATTCCTGATAAAATAATAGTTTCAGAAACAATTCTTCCTATCATTGTATAAAAATTCTTTAAAGTTATATAACTGGGTAATTTTTAACCGAATCACCGGTAGATTCCAAGAAACTAATGCACAGCTGATTGCTACTTCCGGCTTAGTTTACGAGATAAATACAAACGGTAATCCTAATCTCTGCATCATAACAGAATGCCCAGCAGAACAGGAAATACAATTTAATCGGTAAATCATTATGTCTAGTGATGTTTTATCTCACATTTCAAATTTGTATTGACCAAGTTTAATTATTATGACCTGTTTGATTTGCTGAAGGGATAGATCGACGATGTATTTTTTCTGCGGAAGACAAACACGTTTTTATTGCAAATGTAGGGATTGTGTATGCGATGGTGACGAGCTTCATTCCGATTCGCTTTATAGACGGGGTATA